GTTCACGCAAAGAAAGAACTTTTATTCTAGCTGTAGTATTGTTGACGCTGCAGCCATGTCCTGAAGACGCTGTGTGCTTCGTTGTGAAAGCGAAACTACTTTGTTTGGCCTTCCAAAAGAGGACACGACTAGAAATCAGTGGTTAAGTTGTATTGACAACACTGTTCCAGAATACTTCAACCCAAATATTCAAATGTATGCTGCGCATTTTATGGAGGACTGTTTCCTGATCCTGGAAGAGTAGACTACAATGCCGGCTGTTCTGAATCACGCAATGCAACGCGTAAAAAGACCGTATAAGTCATTATAATCAGTAGTTATGTCCCCACTGGATGCAACAAATGCCTTGTTTGTAATGGGTTTTAATGTTTATGTCTTGTCGCTCCGGCCGGACACGGCATCAACACAGTATGGTGAGGGGCGTAACATTTCCGTCTCACGCTTGAGGTATTCGGCCAATCACAACGCATTGGATAGCTGGCCAATCACAGCACACCTCGCTTTTTCAGACCGATGAGCTTTGTAAAAATCGACGCGTTTCAAAAAGGCGGGGCATAGAGGAGAAACAATAATGTACAGTATGTGGAAAATAATGTGTTTTTTGAACTTTAAACCGCATAAACACATTTCATTACACCAAATACACAAAATAATGTTATTTTTAGCAGCATCATATGACCCCTTTAAATTTAGGTATGGGGTAGGGTTAACGGGACTAAAATATGGTCATGCAGAATAATACATTAATATGTGCTTTCTAAGTGCTAATAAACAGCCAACATGCTAGTAATATGCATGCTAATAAGCAACTAGTTAATAGTGACAATTGGTCCCTAAACTAAAGTGTTACAGAGTCAGATTGTAAGCCATGTTGACCAAATTACCAGTGAATAACTACATGACCCATAATCTAAAATGAACCATCCGGAGTGTGTTCGCAAATTTACTTGGTTGAACTACAGTTCTCAACGTGTAGTTTGACATGTGGAAATCAAGAGATCATGCTCTGGGGCACAACAAGCAAGCTAACATGATTAATTAGTAGAAGTTATTACTTCACCACATGCGCGTGCATAATGTAATTAATGATAGTTCTATATTGTTGAACCAATGTGGTTCGAACGACAGAGATGTGACCATGTTCGGGAAAGAGTTTTGACTAGCTAGTTAGTTTCTACAGCGATGCATCGTACTACACTAGTTAAGCAGTGAATTACTTAATTGTACGGGAAACAGAAAATGTTAGAATCTAACTACTCAATGCTGTCATGTACAAACTAGACAAATTTGAACTGAACTCACACTTATTGTCATCTTAAATAGGATTAGATCCTGTGAACTGATATTTGTTAAACAAAGTGATGTTAAATACATTGCACGGTATTAATCTGACAGCGCACCGAAGAGATGAAGATCACTGGACACTAAGCCCTGCCTCTCTCATCCACATAATTCCCCTTAGATGAATAATCCATAATAGCCTGGATGACAGATCGCGAGTCTCAGTGTCATGAGAAGGGCTCGAGACAATCTGACTCTGTCTAAATAAGCCAAAGGGATTTGTTTTGGCTCAGCCATTATTGGTAACCACCGAGACATATGCAGCTTTTGTTATTCTGACATCTGCTTATCAGACATATAATATCCAAGAACAGACTGACGAAGATGAAGAGATGAGACACTTAGAGACTTTCAGGCCTGATGCTGATGGAGTGATGGATTTATGTCTAATTTGTCTTGTGTGTGTGTGTGCGCGCGTTTTTGTGACAAATGAGGACATAAATTTGTATAATGACAAAGGTATGACATAGGTATTACAAGGAGAAGGTGACTTTTCAGGACATTACCCCATGTCCCCACTTTTCACAAAAACAAACCTGTGTGTGTGTGTGTGCGCGCGTTTTTGTGACAAATGAGGACATAAATTTGTATAATGACAAAGGTATGACATAGGTATTACAAGGAGAAGGTGACTTTTCAGGACATTACCCCATGTCCCCACTTTTCACAAAAACAAACCTGTGTGTGTGTGTGTGTGTGTGTGTGTGTGTGTGTGTGTGTGTGTGATCAAGAGGAAATCAGGAATGCATCATATGTAATAGATTTGTAGGGCCGTTACCACCAAACCAATCCCTAATGTACTTTAAAGCAGCAATATATCACTCGATGTGGTAAAAACAGTGAGCTAGTTCTCAGGTTCTCAAGTTTATGGATTACTGTATGTACAGAAAGCAATGGAAAAATAAAGATTCACTTCATCAATCAACTTATCTAATCAAAGATGGTATAGAAAGAAGATAACACTGATTCAATAATACCTATATTACAGGATTGTACTGTATGTACAGTGACATTAACCAAAAAATGTGTAATAAAAGACCCTGAGTGTAAATAAAAAAAGAAGTTTATATCCGTGTCATTATAGTAAAGGAAAAATAATTTCTCTTCAGATTTAATTATTTCACTGAAAAATATTTTACTTTGAAACTGTTTTCTGGAAATTGCTAGTAAATTAAACAAATGGTTGCAAAGAAACACCAAGTAACACACTGAATTAAAGGGGTCATATGATGCTATTTTAAAGATCATTATTTTGTGTATTTGGTGTAACAGAATATGTTGACATGCTTTAATGTTCAAAAAACACATTATTTTTCAAATACTGTACATTATTGTAGGGGGGTGTGGTTGACTCTTAACCTTTATAAAGAATATCTCTTTGGTTTTGCGACTTTAGTCTTTGCAACTTTACAGATCTTCTTTATGCACCAAGAGCTTGTAACACTCCAAAGAGAAAGGAAAAATTTAAATTGCATCATATGACCCCTTTAAACATTACATTTTGAAGTAGAAAGACTGAAATAGTATTTTCTTATACTCCAATAGTTTGTCACATTTACAACTTCAAAAAAAAAATCACAACCTCGTATAATAGCCATCATTTACAAGTCACTAATATAATGCGATCTGTAATTAATAAAACAAAAAAAAACAGTGCAACAGAAAAGCAGGAAAACAGTGCGACAGAGAAAATAGCTCTAAACTATTATATCTGCAAGGCTTTATTCATGTGGACTCAGCTAATATTTGCCAATGAAGCAGATTAAATCTCTCACAAGAAATGTAATGTTGTAACTGTGTGTTTAATGAAGGATTGAAACCCTCTGGAGCTGTCAATGTGTTGTCGTTCTCCACAGTCACAGCAGGTGAATACATGTAATTATCTCATGTTAATTAGTTGACCTCTCCTGACACCTTACCTTGTGTCTCAAAGTGAGGAATAGTGGGGTAAAGATGCTCCTTTCCCAGCAGCCAGTGCGCCGCTATGTTAGGGCCACAGGGTGATAATCCGTGATAAGTGCTGGTTCTGATGGGGTTCGTGCTGATTGTCCTTGTGAGGCATTAAATGTGTCTTGGCTTTTCGGTAACACTTTAGTATAGGGACCAATTCTTACTATTTACTAGTTGCTTATTAGCATGCCCATTAATGATATATTGGTTGTTTATTAGTACTTATAAGGCACATATTCTGCATGACTATATTCAACATCCATAATCCTACCCAATACCTAAACTTAACAACTACCTTACTAGCTATTAATGAGCAGCAAATTAGTACTTTATTGAGGCAAAAGTCATAGTTAATGGTTTGTTAATAGCGAGAATTGGACATTAAAATACAGTGTGACCAGCTTTTCTAATGGGGAATTGTTGATTTCAATTCAGTTCAAGTTTATTTGTAAAGCGCTTTTCACGATACAAATCGTTTCAAAGCAGCTTTACAGAAAATTAAGTTTCTACAATATTTAGTAGTAGCTTATCAGTGGTGACTGTCATTTAATAAACACATGGCAGAAATGTAAGGAAAAATCAATTAAAGGCGTAATCAAACAGACGATGAACACTATTAACAGCAATTATTATATGATGCAATCAAACTTATAGCAAAATTTGGTAGTTCTGTATGTTGTTTCAGGGTTGGCATAATCTGAGGTCCTCTGTGGGGGACCTTTTTTCCCTTTTTTTAATGCCAGAAGGCCTTAATCAGGACATGTATATGTACTGTATATGTATATGTATATGATTCAAAATTTTGGGGTTGATAAGATTTTCTAATGTTCTCTTATGGTCACCAAGGTTACATTTACTGGTAAAAAAAATACAGTAAAACAGTAATATTGTGAAATTTACAATAATTGTTATTCCTGTGATCAAAGCTGTATTTTCAGTATCATTACTCCAGTCTTCAGTGTCACATGATCTTCAGAAATCATTTTAATATGCTGGTTTGCTGCTCAAGAAACATTTCTGATTATTATCAATGTTTAAAACAGTTGTGCTGCTTCAATTGTTTTGTGAAAACCGTAGTAGTTCTTGTTTTCAGGATTCTCTGATTATTAGAAAGTTTGAAAGAACAGCATTCATTGAAATACAATTTTGTATCAGTGAAAAAAAAATGTTTTATGAGTAAATTATCGTTTTAATTGCTGCAAGAACTTATGAGTTACTTTATAAGTATATATTGAACTAAATTTGAAAAAGTAAATAAATAAGCAAGTGCTACAAAAGTAGTAGAGAATGTGGTCCATTTAAATGACAAATGACAAGCCATTCATCACAATACTCATCACCATCCATCAAACATCACTGCAGTCACTTTCTTTTGCTCTGGACAGGTATTAATACTGAGCTCAGTTGAACTATATTACAACACTAACTATGCAACCATGACACTGTTATTGAACTGAATTCAGTCAAACTGAACTGAGCTAAATAATGACTCCATTGTCTTCTGTAGAGCTGAAATTGAATTTGTTTCATAATTGATTCATTTTACAACAGTAACACTGCTGTTTTCCTTTTTATTGCTGTTAAGCTGGTTTGAAACAATCTGCATTGTATAAAGCACTATCTAATTAAATGTGACTAATATGATGTCAGTATCTGAATGTAAACATTCATTGATTGAGTTTTGCCTTGTCTTCTCTCTCCCGGACCAGAACACCTACACTAATGCAGATAAACTCCTGGAAGCGGCCGAGCAGTTGGCCCAGACGGGCGAGTGTGACCCCGAGGAGATCTATAAGGCAGCGCGACACCTGGAGGTCAGGATCCAGGACTTCGTCAGGAGAGTGGAACAAAGAAAACTACTGCTGGACATGTCCGTCTCCTTCCACACGCACACTAAAGAGGTAAGACTGACACACATGCCAGGTGGATTGCAGAGGAATGCTGGGAGGTTTTGCTGAGCAGTGCCAGATGTGCTCGAAGAACACGCTGTTCACCTCTCCAGATGCCAATCAGGACCTTGTGTGAAATGTTAAACGTTTTTGCCATTACGTAATTCATGGCATGTTTAAGGCACGTTGCTGCAGCAGTGAACAGCCGTGATTTATTATGCAGTAATGTGACATCACGCTACATCCATCACCTCATGCACCCTGCATTTGAGAAGGACAGAGAGCGCGACTATGTTGGAGGGTTATGTGGCACAATCCTTCTTTCTGGGGGGGTTTGGTGCTGCGCTTGTCTCATGGAGCTCTAGCGTGAGCTATAGTTTTGTTGATGTATGGCGATTGTAGGAGTGTGGTTTTCTCACGACTGACTCTGATGTCCTGATATCGCTCGGTCTCTCTGTGGGGACTAAGGCTGATGATACATGAGGCAACTTTTTGAGCAATTTTGCCGGGCAACTCTTTTTGAGCAACATTGCTTGGGCACTTTCCCTTTAGAGCCTTTCGCACCGCAGGAACCTTTTCATAGTACCAGAACTAATTGTGGAACTACCCACTTTTTGGCGTTTTCGCACCACCGGAACTGGGAGCGATTTTAGTACCGGACTGCCTTTTTCGAGAACCAAATTAGCTCCTACTCCGGAGCAGGGTCTAACCAGCACAACTGGTACTAATCGTGACGTAAGTAGACATTGATTGGCCAAACGTTCCTTTCAATCAGAAATCATTCTAATATGCTGATTTGGTGCTCAAGAAACATGTCTTATTAAGGGCTCAGAGCTTGCTCTTTCATATTTTCATAATAGACTTAATGAATTTCATTGATTTAGTTCTCACTTAAGTATCAACTTTAGCCCTATTCAGATGGTAATTGTTTCTCATGTGGACGTCTGTAAAAATAAATGTACATGGCACCTCAGCAATAAAACTCGGATTCTTATAAATATAAAACTTGGATTCAGATGGCAATTTATTGCGAGTTCTATGATCCTATGAGGACCGCGCTGTTCACATGGCCAGTCGCATGATTATCTGCTTTAATAAAGATATCATATGCTTGGAATAATGAAAATAGATATGCTTTTAATATAATGGTAATAATACTTTTGCGCGGGTGGAGAGAAAAAAACCCCAACATTCTGGATTTGAACCGCAATAAAATCAAAGACCAACCCCTGTAAATGTTAAAAATAGCTTGCATCCCCATGATAAACAATCACTGTCTGAATCTGGCTTTTGTCTAAGATTTTTCTCTTCAAATTTTCAGACCAAAATAAGACCATTGTTAACATTTTTTTTAATTTCATATGGAGGAGCATATGGAAATAGAAATATAGTATTTGGTAGTTTTAATAACATCTTTTTACATTTTTATGTAATGCATGTGTTATTACCATGTAATAAATCAACCCCGCCCACCAATTCTACAACACTGCCTGTTTAACCCCGCCCACCATTACTACAACACTGCCTGTTTAGCCCTGCCCAACAATTCTACAACTACATCAATTCTATATATATATATATACTGTATATATAATGGGTTTATAATTTCCAGTTGCAATGGAAATAACCCTATATTTTTTATCTTGCTGTTCTGCTGCAATGGTCTCATAGCAATCTGAAGTGTATTTTTTAATTCATAATGTGACCAGATTGACCGCAGATACAATTACTATGGAAACCACAGGGATGGCAACATCACATTCACCACTGTGCTTTGTAACTGTATTAACCCTTTAAGAGATGCATGCCATGTCAACTGTGTTCGAAACCAATGTAAAGAGAAATGAACTCTTGAAGTGGCATGCAGGCCGTGTTTATTTCTGTAAGGAATCCCTGTATGTCCCTGCTGTGCGGTTTGGTTTAATGTATCCATTGTGTTTAGCTTTACCCTAATGTGGGCGATTTCCTGCATTGTAAAACTTGTCTTATGCATTGCTGTTCAGAGCTCTTGTGTGTGATTCATATGAATAATATTCCTGCGTGTGTCTCAAGCCGCTGTTGGGGGAATCATCTATCATGAACATCACATCCTTCTGCAGAGCTGCTCTACGCCTGCAACATGTTAAAGCTGAACATGAGCAGCCTCCTCACGGCAGATTTGGAAAGGCCTTATTCATCATTACAGGCTCTCGATCTGCATCTGGCAGAGCTGATGTTCCCACGCTCATGGAGAACCTGGAAATGTCAGGGATTGATTGGAAATTCTTAAAACATCATGGGAATTCTATAGCATTTTTAAACTCTTATCAAATAATCACAAGTGTCATGGCAATTCATTGTTCAGAGGTGTAAACTCTGTAAAGAGGGATCTGTGTTTATCAAACATGCCTGTGTGACTGATATTCTCTGGTCCTGTTCAGTAACTCAATCCATCAGCAAGATTGGTTCCATGAGTTGTTTCTCATAAGTTAATTAATTGCGAGCAAAATTTATTCAAAGCGTTTTTATTCCTCCACATGGAACAGTGAGAATGTGTTAACAGAGACTTCGAATGCAGCACAAAGGTGACATAAGTTTATTTAAAGAGGAACAACAATCGTGGCACTCACTGCATCAGTTCTGGTGTTTTTTGCTCATTCTTGATTGAAAAGAAGATGCACACAAATGTGACCCTGGACCACAAAACCAGTCACAAGGGTCAATTTTTCGAAATTGAGATTTATACATCATCCGAAAGCTGAATAAATATTTTTTTTTTATTTCCATTGATGTATGGTTTGTTATGATAGTACTATATTTAGCCGAGATACAACTGTTTGAAAATGTGGAATCTGAGGATGCAAAAAAATCTAAATATTGAGAAAATCGCCTTTAAAGTTGTCCAAATTTAGTTCTTAGCAATGCATATATTACTGTTACGGGGCGACAGAGACGTAAGACGTGCGGATCCATCTGCAAAGCTTTTATTTAAAGGCGTGGTCATAAAAACAGGCAAGGTTCTGACAATGGCAAACAGGTATATTGAGGGCAAGACAAAAGAGGAATCCAAAACAAGCAATAATCCAATCGAGGGGCAAACACAGTCCGAATCAGCAAGGCAAAGGGTAAATCCAAGACAGGCTATAAACTTCAGGGCAGGCAGAAATCAGACAGGACGAGATAACAGGCTAGGATCAAGACAGGAACTAAGAACTAGAAATGGCTCCGTAGAGTAGCTATCGCTATGAGTGATAAACGCTATACAATACTCGGCGTTGAATGGTGGTGTGAGACTGATTTATATAGTGTGTGTTATTGGTAGCAGCTGTGTGTGATTGGTTTCAGGTGAGCTTGTGATTAGTGCAATGGAGTATGGGAAATGTAGTCCAGGGTGATGTGTAACAGTCTGTGTGGTGTGAGAGTCAATATCATGGGAGGGCGACCTCTGATGGCAAGTGGATGGAAGTTCATGGACCGGATTTGTGACAATTACTAATCAAAAAGTGAGTTTTGATATGTTTACAGTAGGAAATTTACAAAATATCTTCATGGAACATGATCTTTACTTAATATCCTAATAATTTTTGGCATAAAAGAAAAATCAATAATTTTGACTCGTACAATGTATTTTTGGCTATTGCTACAAATATACCCCAGCGACTTACGACTGGTTTTGTGCTCCAGGGTCACATATTGTCATGACAACAGCCAACAATGTTTTGGCAGTTCTTTCATCTCATTTATGTAAAATCAGACAAATCATCTCTGTTCTGCTCATATCTAATGTTGCACGTGTTTTCCCAAAAAAGTCTGTTTGCTTGTTATTTTTATTTATGGTTGCCAACTGAAACATTTACAATACACATCTCTGAAATGAACATTTGTTCATTTAATTTGATAGCCAAATAACATATTGGCTCATGAAACTGTGTATGTGTCAGGATCATGGACCTGTTTTGTCGTGTTTTTGCCCCTGTTTCTGTCCTCGTTTAGTTTAATTAGTCATTCAGTGCACCTGTGTTTGCTTATTATCCCTTGCATTTAAGTTCTTGTCTGTGCATTTCTGTGTCGGGTCTACAAGTTATGTCCGTGTGTCATTCCTCGTTCCTTTTTTGTAGATTTTCCCCTGTGTTTGTTCATTAAAAGACTGTTTAACGCTTCTTCGCGTCTCCTGCGTTCCTTCCGGCAACAAATCGTGACAGTATGTTATACCGTCACTATGTTATTTGGACATTATTTGGAATTAAATGTAGGGATCCCTTTTTTTTTTTTTGTCTCTTCTGCTTACCACGGCTTCATTTATTTGACCAAAAATACAGTAAAAAACAGCAATATTGTGAAACATTATTACAAATTAAAATAGGTGTTTTCTATTTAAATTAATAAATAAATTAATTAATTAATAAATGTATGCATTTAGCAGACGCTTTTATCCAAAGCGACTTACAGTGCATTCAGGCTATACATTTTTTACCAGTATGTGAAAATGTATTTGAAATGTAATTTATTCTTGTGACACAAAGCTAAATTTTCAGCATCATTACTCCAGTCTTCAGTGTCACATGATCCTTCAGAAATCAGTATAATATGCTGATTTGGTGCTCAATAAATGATCAATGATGAAAACATTTATTTATTTATTTATTTAACCAATACACCATTCAAATATTTGGGGTAATTAAGAATGAATGAATGAATGAATAAATAAATAAATAAATATATAAATATATAAAATGCTTAGTGTTATGTTAGAATCATTATTATACTCTTATACCTTTTGTTCTTTAATATTTTGAATTGTTTTTAGCTTTATTTTTTTGTTTTTCATTTATATGTTAAGTTTTGAAATTTTGTTGTATGCATTTGTCATTTTTATTTAATCTCTTTATTTTTAAAATGTGTATAAGTAGTATTTATAAAGTTTTAGCTTTTAGTTTTGGATCTGTTTTTAGTTGTTTTAATACTACAATTGATTGCTTCTGTTGTCCTCATTTGTAAGTCGCTTTGGACAAAAGCGTCTAATAAATGACTAAATAAATAAATAAAAACCAACAAGGGTGCATAAAATTAATAAAAATCTAAATGCTTGTATAGCACTACATCACTGTTTCCAATATTATTAGTAATAAGAACCATTATTAATAATTGAGCAACAATAACAATTGATAATAATAACAGAGCACCAAATCATAGAATATTAGCATATTAGACTGATTTCTGAAGGATCAAACCAGCAACCTTTGGTTACCTGCACTGACCTGGAAACACGACACCACACAGCACTCTGATTTTTGTTCTGATTTTTAATGAACTCTCCGAATCATTTCTATACTGTTTAATCTTTTAGACTGAAATGTTAAAAACGGATGCGAGCATGAGAAATGAGAGCGTATATTTCCGGCTGCTTTCTAATATTGGATTCAGGACAGATTATTGTTAGATGAGCGTTATAATCTGTGCAGACAGGTCACTCCATCTCTGAGTCTGTAGAGGAGTTTAGAAACTTTTTTTAGGTCTTTGCAGGAGTACGTGTGTTTCTGTGCTTGTATATGGGTCAGGTTTGGGCTCCACTGAAGAGAATAAATGTTGAGAGTTAAACAAATACTTACGTCTCAATGAAAATATGAATGTGCAGAAAATTGTGCATTATATTTAGGAGGAATATCATGAGGAAATACTTTGACTGAAAGCCTGTACATGTGTTAATGTGTATATATGTGTGTGTGTTTCAGTTGTGGACGTGGATGGAGGACCTGCAGAAGGAGCTTCTGGAAGAAGTTTGCTCTGATTCGGTGGATTCAGTTCAGGAGCTGATCAAACAGTTTCAGCAGCAGCAGACGGCCACGCTGGAGGCCACACTCAATGTCATTAAAGAGGGAGAAGACCTTATGCAACAACTCAGGTATCAACACACACACAGTTTCACTCATGAGTTTACACACTTACAAATACTTTTTCAAAATCTCTCTTTAAAAGGCTACAGAACAGGTATTTACATATTTTCCAAAATAGACAAAATAACTTATTTTACACAAATGATCATGTTCAAATGTTTGCATTCCCTTGATATGTAAACTTTAATAAACTTGGAAAGGCAACACTCAGTATCAAGAACCAAATGTGTCTAAACTTTTAAACAGAATTAAAGTTCTGTAAATTCAATTATATTTTGTCTTGTTGGATGTATGTAAATATATTTAATTCATGCTTTTACATATCTAACATGTACTTACTATACAGTAAATAATGCATCATTACAAATAACTAACCCTAAACCAAACCCTAGCACTAATCTTAACCTTATAGTAAGTATTTAATTGTGTAATTACGCTGTAACACTTGTAGCCCAAGTTTTATGACCTTCTAAAAATAAACTTCTAAAATAAAATCTTAGTGAATTGGATATTGCTTACAAATAATTCATCAGAATAAGCGACAGCTTTGAATGGCTGTCAAGAAATATTACTTAATGGTGTAGTTACAGCAGGAGCTTATTGAACTGTGCTCACCTGCCAAACCTTGAGCCCTTAAAGTCCCCATGAAATCAAAATTAAAGTTTTTTGGGTGTTAGTATCAATATGTTAGTCTTAAGGTTATCTATAAGGCAGTGTGCTCCAAAACAGTGATTAAATTCGCATTTAGAAGATATAAGCATTCAAAGCTTGCAGTTCGTCACTTCCGCCAAAACGCTAGAAAGTGTATTTAAAGTAAATATGTTTATAACTGAAGTCTACCAGTCAAGTAGGGCTCAATGTACTGTGTTAATATGAATGAATTCTCTGTATTTTTGTTTTAAGGTTGATGGAAATGTCTATAAACTTAACAGTTACGTCCCGGCAGAAAATTTGATTTTGCAAGGGTGCAGCATCATGAAAAATATGGTAACACTTTATTTTAAGGTGTCCTTGTTACGCATGTTACATGTACTTATGTACAATAAATTATGCGTAATTACATGCAACTAACCCTAAGACAAACCCTAACCATATAAGTACATGTAGTTAATTAATATTACTCAGTACTTAAATATATAATTACACTGTAACAAGGACACCTTAAAATAAAGTGTTTTTAAACCCTTAAAATGTATGCAACTGTAACACTGTTTTGAAAGTACAGCCATGACACTAAAACATCACATGATACTAGTGTGTCATTTACCAAAGCCATCTGTGTAAAGTTGCATTCAGGCCCACAGAAAATTCCAGTGATAAGAAGACAGATTGAAAAAGAAATGTATGTAAAACTGCCTCATGCATCAGTTGTAAGTGCATTAGTGCAAATGTGCTTCCAATTTAATTTTATAAACTAAAGAACGAGTCTGTACTATTTTTTTGTGTTTTACAAACTGTCATAGACATGATGTTTATAAACATTAAGTTGTGTATTTGCCAGAACATTTATTTAGTGTAAGCGGATTGTAATGGTTCTAGTTTCCCCTAACCCCCACACTCTTAACACAGAGATTCAGCGATGAGCAGTAATAAGATGCCTCACACCAGCTCTATCGCTCACATCGAGGGCGTCCTACAGCAGCTAGAGGAGGCCCAGGGCCACATGGAGGAGCTATTCCACGAGAGGAAGATCAAACTCGACATCTTCCTGCAACTGCGCATCTTTGAGCAGTACACCATTGAGGTGACGTGTGTGTGTGTGTTTGCATGCTAGTTTAGTTTATTTGAAATAATTTTCAGAGATTTATTAAAAATCAACAAATAGTTCTTGATCTTGAACCAAAACAACTGGCTCTGAGATGAATAAAAAATATTATATTCAGAGCATTTGAAGAAGCAAATGAAATGCTTATTCCATGAAGCATTGTGAATAAAGAAATTGACACTATTGACACTGTAAATGTAAAATATTTTACATTTAAAGCCATAAAATAAACAAATATACACTGTAAAAAAAAATTGGCGGCTGTGGTTTCCGGAATTTTACCGTAAAAAATACGGTAGCAACATTTTAGGTTTTACGGTTTTAACTTAAATGTACAGTTAAATACCGTAATTTCATTAACTGATATAATGTTAATATACCAACCTATTGAAGTACTGAAATCTGTTTTGTACCTTCGTAATACACTGATAACCACCAAATGCAGGTGGTGATGAGAAAGTCACATGATGAAACAAAGCCCATCACAAGCAGCTTTTAAATAATAACATATATAGAAGGTGCACAGCGTCATTCACACAAACACTAAACACCATAATGGTAACACACATGAAACTGAAATAATACAATAAACATTCATTTAACAATGTGAGTGTGTGTGAGTGTGTGTGTGAGTGTGTGTGTGTGTGTGTGTGAGTGTGTGAGTGTGTGTGTGTGTGTGTGCGTGTGTTTGCATGCTAGATTAATCATTTTCTCCAGAGGTTTAACAAAAATCAGCAAATAAAATAAAAATAGATAAATAAAAAATGTATCAGAGCATTTGAAAAAGTAAATATAATACTCATCCCACGAAGCATTGTGAATGATGAAATGGACACGGTAGAACTATTGATGGTAAATATAAAATACTATCAATTTAAAGCCATAAAATACTACATATAAAGTAGTTTGAGAGATTGACAGTTTAAAAAAAACTGTACCTGCAGATAATATGTGACCTTGGAGCACAAAACCAGTCATAAGGGTCAATTTTTCGAAATTGAGATTTATACATCATCTGAAAGCTGAATATAAAAGCTTTCCATTGATGTATGGTTTGTTAGGATCGGACAATATTTGGCTGAGATACTATTTGAAAATCTGGAATCTGAGGGTGCAAAAAAATCAAAATA